TCAGTGCATTTAAAAGCCAACTGTATAAAAAATGAGATATGATTAGTAAATTGGAATCATGTCCAGATTTAGTCTAACTGAGGTCTTTCTTCCTGTAGAATGGTAAGTCAGACTGGGCTGACAAAGAGTAGACATACTTGATATTAAAAACTGGCAACATTTAAGAGCCCTGTAAAACCTCAAAACAGGAGAAAGAACCCAATCTATGATGTGGCTGGAAGGCCCGCTGGCATGGGTAACGTACCCAAAAATGACAAAGATTTTGGCCACGTGGATGCCTCTCTGTTCTCACTGAGGCAGGAATCTTGCCTTCCCTAATCCATAATATACCACTTCTAATATTATTAACACTCAGGAATCAACTGATTTATAGTCCAGTGCAGGGTTCCCAGTCTTGTTTTTTTTTTTTTTTTGAGACATATAGGATGGATGATATTCATATACACAGTATCTTCTCTAAAGCATCCTCAGATTTTGACAAAACATTCAAAAAATAAGCATGCTAATAATTCATTTTCATCATATACCATATTCATATTTGTCATATACTGAAGATTTCAGGCAGCATGAAGAGTGGTAAGTCTAGCCCATTCTTGCCCCTTCATAAAAGTATTTGGGAATGCAAATGACCAAGAGTGAGGGTCAGGAACAATATTGAACAATAATGAATTTTTTTGTATTTTTTTTTTTGGAAAAGAACAATATTGAATTTTTTTTGTATTTATTTTTTTGGAAAAGAAACTGTTCATAAACTTTGGTATTTCAGCTCCTATAATAACAAATTACTTGCTACACACTGCTCAACTGCTCTGGACATAACATTGTGTCTTGACATCATGGTGGAGGACTCTTGGTCTAGGTCAGTATTCCAAACTCAGACCGTAGGTCCTGGGTGAAGGAAGGGAAATTTGGAATTATAGGAAGGGAACCATGAATCCATGGATACATCAAGCATTACTGCGCTCTAAATAAAAAGCCTGTCTTGTGTGTACATTACCACTTTTCAAATGTGCACAGGTTTATAAGAATTAAAAAAATTCAAATAATTTAAAAACTCTGCTGAATTCATAGTACCTCTTTATCATTATATGTTTTTCCAGTCAAGAATTATCAAAAGTACAATCTTAACATGGTTAGGGGCTACAGTAGAGAGTTTAGATAAAAAAAAATCAAGGTTTCCAATGATATATAAAGGTCTATATTTTAAGACAGGGAAGTGGACAAAGGACAGCAGCAGGAAATTAGGCCAGTGTTTCTCAAAGTGAGGTCACTGGACTACCAGCATGGAACTCTCTAGAAGTTGCTGGTCAAAATCTCTAGCGGTGGGGATCCTTCATGAACTCTCTTAATGAGTCCAACTAAGTTTGAGAATCACAATCACTGGTTTAGAATGCATTATAAAAAATGCTTCTTTAACACACAGATAGTAGTGAAATATTACCAAGTATTCTCCAAGAGGTTTTAAAAGAAGAGAGAGAAATATGCTTGCCTGATGGCAGGACCATGCACAGATGACCCATCTCGAGGGACCATGATGTCCACTCCCAGACCATATTTGAGGCATTTTCTTGGTCACTGGAGTATATTGGAGACAAGGTTCAGAGGGGGCATGGGATTCCCCACATAGTTATAGTCTCTGTGTTGTTTTCCAAAGCCCCCAGAGGGGTTGGAGGCTTGCAAACAGGAAGATGATGGGCTTTGCCAAAGTAACAATTAGATAATTAAATTATTCTGTTTATAGACTTTATAGAGATCTGAAAATACCACCCATCTTTCTCATGGAGGGACTACAGGAAGCTCTCTGCAAAGACAGATTTTAAAAAAATGGCTTCTTGTCAATAGTTTTAGCTTAGAAACTAAATTATTGATTAGAAAGAGAATGACTGTCAAATCTCTTTAAGATGCTATGACAATATCTAGGAACAAGAATTCTTTATAGGAATCTAAAAAACAAAAGCACAAACAAACCCCCAAACACACAGACTTCTGAGAATTATATAGGAGGCACTGAAAACTCCAAGTTAAAAATAGCTTTTACCAGACCCAAGGAAGAACAAGTAGAATCAGTGAATAACAACAAGTATCAACTTGTAAAAATCCTTTAAGTTGTGTTGCTGGGACAAAGATGGCAAGAGAGTTTAGCGGTCAACTCCACAGTTCATGGTCATGGTTAGGAGCACAGAACCTGAGATCAGATAGACAGACCTGCTATTTAATCCTAGCTTCACCTCTGAGCAGTTTGTGTGGCCTGAGCAAGTGACTGAAGTCTCTGAACCACAGTTTCCTCATCTGTAAAATGGGAATAATAACAGTGCCCTGCTCTGACTCTCTCTTACAGGTCATTAATTGTGAGGGTGAATCAAGTGAAAGCAGTCGGGCCACACTAACTGCACAGAGTAAGTCCTGATGCATGTTAACAATATTTTTACTATAACTATATTTCTACTACTTTTTACTACAAACCAAAGATTTTCTGTAATGCCAAGATATTCAGGGCATTCAGAAAGAGATTTTTCTGGGACGAGGGGAAGAGAGGTGTTTGCTCAACAGCATTAAACTAGTGGGTTTAAATTCTGCGTGTCCTTGGAGTCCATCCTGTGACATTAAACCTTCCCCAGGGACTCCCTCTGTTCCTGACTTCCCATAGCACATATTCCCCCTGTCCCAACATTTGCCAGCTCATTTTATTCCGTCTTAGATTTTCTTTCAATGGTTTCATGAGTACAAACTCCATCTCCCCAGCCAGACTGTAAATTTCTCCTGGGTTCAGTTCATACCATACTCCTTTTGCCCTATCTCTTAGAGCTTGACGTGCAGTATGAACATGAGAGAGAAACAGAAGTAAGACTGTGTATATGTTTAGATGGCTCTCAGCACTCCTCCTCTCCCTCCTCCAAGTAACAACAATGATAATAATTAGATTAATAATAAACCCTCTGGCTTTTGAGGGTCCCTGGGCCTGGCACTGAACTGAGCTCTTTAAATACCTTCTCTCACTTGACTCTTGACCCTCGATAGCACCGCAGGAATGAGCTGCTGAGAGAACCACGAGCAGAACAGCAAAGCAAGGGCAGCTTTGCAAGCCCTGACCACTCACTCAGCCAAGTTCAGAACACAACCATCAGGGTGTGGTTACTTCCAGGTCTTTGTTTTTGTTGTTGTTGTTGTTGTTCTTCCAGGTCTTTGAATGAAAGATACCAACCCCATTTACTTTTTTCCCCAACATAATCCAACTGATGGTTCCAGTGCCCCTATTGTCATTTGGGCTCCCAAAGCAGAGACTCTTCTGGAGAGGAGGCATGTACCTCTGGGAGGCAGAGTTTGAGCCCTGTCCCTACCACATGTTTCTGACCTGTCCCTTCAAGGTTAACCACAACCTACAGTGAGAAATATATATTATACTGCAACTCTGACATATGTCCCAAAGATTTTTATGAAATAATGCTTATGTTCATGTGAGGCCTTCTGAGATTTTCCTATCCTATTTCATTCCTTCACTGAAAATGATAATGTGAAGAAATCGGAACCCATACATATCACCAGCGGGAATGCAAAATGGCATAGTCTCTTTGGAAAACAATTGGGCAATTCCTCAAAATCGTAAAAGTAGAGTTATCAAATGATCTAGAAATCCTACTCCTAGGTATATGTCCAAGAGAAATGAAAATGTACATCCGTACAAAAACTTGAACATGAATGTTCATAGCAGCATTATTCATAGTAGCCAAAAGGTAGAGATAAACCGAATGCCCATCAACTGATGAGTGAATAAACAAAAGCAATGTATATCCATAAAATGGAATACTATTTAGCCACAAACAAGAATAAAGTACTGACACATGCCACAGCATGTGAAACCATTATGCTAAATGAAAGAAGCCCAGTCACAAAACACCGCATACTACATGATTTCATTTACAGGGATTGCCAAGAACAGGTAAATTTATAGAGATAGAAAGTAAATTAGTGGTTGCCACTGGGAGAGAAGGTGGGACAAATAAGGAGTGGGTATGGCTTTCTTTTTGGGGTGATGAAAATGTTCCAAAACTAAATTGTGGTAATGGTTGCAAAATTCTGTGAATATATAGAAAAACACTGAATTGTACAATTTAAAGGGGTGAATTATATAGTATGTGAATAAACCTGTTTAAAAATGATGGCTGTGATCCACTCAATTGATTTCACCACCCCAAATGGGTATCAACATGATTGAAAATTATTGTTCTAGAGCATACTGCCCACCCCCCTGCCCCCGCCTGCGCCTGTCCTCTTCATGAGAATCACGGCTTGACCTGGAGAGTTGGGGAGCCTGCAGTGTTTGGGTGGGCGGGTGGACAGGCAGATGGAGAGGGGGTGAACGTGTGGAAGAAGAGGTGAGAACCATCTGTGGCAAAATAGCCATCATCCTTCTCCAGTTAAGGAATCCTGACTGCATTTTCAGCAGCACATGCACAGCAAAAAGACCACATTGCTCAGTCTCTCCAACAGTTGGGTGGCCAACAGAGCCTTGGTGAGATGTCTAGAAGAGCTCTGGAAGGGGCTGATTCAGCCAGGATGGATGCCCCTTTGGTCCCTCACCCCTTCTCTTCTCCTTGCCTTGATTCATTCAAACATGATGGCTCAATCTCTGGAAACCACCTCATGACCCTGGGAGTGGAGGGCAGTCCTAAGGCTGTCAAAGCAAAGGACATAAGGGGACTGGGTCCCTGATGCCTTCTTGAAGCTACCTGGGCTGTGCACCTCTGTACTTCTTTTATGTAACTGAATAAATCCCAAATTTGCTTATGCCACTGAGTCGTCTCTGGTATCAGCAGCCAAAGGAATTTCAAAATGATATGTCATCTAAATGAAGAAAAATTCCCCTCTATCATATATGAGCCAAGGATAGACCTTTCAAGAAATAGCAGCTACTCTCCCACCCAAGCCTTTCTGCCTCCCTTGCCTTCTGGAAGAATCTCTCCTTGAGTCCCAGGTCTGAAGGGAAATGAGAACCCAAATACCTTGTGATTTTAAATATCCGCAGCAGCCGGACACATCTCAGCACAGAGATGCCCAAGGGAGACATGATCTTGGTCTCCACCAGGATGGTCTCCAGGATGCCCCCGCACACAATGAAGCAGTCGAAGCGGTTGAAGAGGGACACAAAGTAGGCCTGCAGGCCTAGGCTGTACATCTTCAGCAGCATCTCCGCAGTGAAAAGGGCCAGCAGTGCCTTGTTGGCCGTGTCTGGTGGGATCAGGCGAGGGGCCAGGATCCCAGCACGGGGGTGAGGGGAGGAGGAAGGCAGGAGGAGGAGAAAGAAAACAGTAATTATCACTGCTGGAAAAAAAGCACAGATGCTCCCTTTCCCGCCAGAACACCTCCCCCCTCTGTTGGTGCCAGAACAGAACAATTGAGGCCAAATCTCCAGAAAAGGGGTATCTAGTTATAATCACAGTAAACACGATCTACCATGCATCAAAGGCTGTGTGTGCTGATCTTCTTTACTTCTTTACTGGCTGCTTTTTCAGAGATGAGGAGTGAGGTTCTGAGAGGTGAGTACTCTGCCCAAACTGATCAGCCAAAAGGGGGAGCCAGGCCACCCAAGTCCACTCTCTGCACTCAGAGACCATCCACTTTCCAGGGTTCTGGAATGCAGCCCCCATGTCTGCTTGACTCCCTGGGAGTGGAGCTGAGGCACTGGCTAGGGAGGTCCTATTCTAGGGCTCCAGGGAAGGGCGGGGGTAGTAACTGCCCATGGAGGACAGCTCCTGGTGCTCAGGCCATGACTGTCCTCTTTCCTGGCTTTTTGCTCACCTCATCCACACATGTTCTGGCAGGCCCACCTGCAGGCGACAGTAAGGCCTGAGGTATTGAAAACCCATTCTGGGAAGTTGGCAGCCAAGAGTCTGAGATAGCGAAACAAGGGGCAGCATGGACCTTGTCACCTGGACCCAATAGTGACTGTTGGGCCAGGCGGACCGTGTGGGCCCAGCCAGGTGAACCACACCTCTTTATAATGAGGTGGTGCATTTTACTATGGGACCTGCAAGCTTGTCAGCCCTTGACATCCTCAGCATGGCATTTGCCAAGAGCGAGGGACACTTTCCCTGCCAGGGTGGCTTTTCTCATCAACCTTGTGCCTGTGACTATTCCCTTCCTGGGATTCAGGGCCGACTTGGCAAGAGTACAGAAGGATAGTGCTGGGGGCTTCCTCTCACCTTGCACCTCCGTGAGCCAGTGGGGCTGGTTGTAGTGTTCCGAGGCGATGGTGAGCGTGTTGAGGAACACCAGGAAGATCACAAGCCAGTAGAAGACATTAGACTTGACTGCAGCACGACACTTTCTTCTGCAGAACCGGTTCCACCGGCGCCAGTAGCGGCTGGAAAAGGAGCAAGGAGAGAAGGAAGGGGGCAGGGCGGAGGGGGCTGTGAAATCTGAAAGACACCATCGTGGTTTCCTTTCTTCCCTTAATGGACTTGGCCTCAGCAGAGCAGTGCAATGTGGTGGCGAGGAGATAAGCTTCCCGTCAAGTTAACCGGGCTCTGCCACTTACTTGTGTGTGTGGCCCTGACCCTTCTAAGCTTGGGTTCTCCCATTTGTAAAACAGGAATAGGGTCAAGCTCACAGGGTGGTTGTGGGGATTGATAAAATACCATATAATGCATCTGGTATAAATACGTATTTTAAATTTATAATAATGACATTATTCAAATTGTATTGCACAACGGAAGAGTATTATTAATAGTGATGGTAGTAAGTAGGACTAGTAATGGTTACCATTAATGAAACCTCATCCATGCCTGTTACCATACTAGACACTTCTCATGCCTTCTCTTTAATTTAACCCTGCAAAGCAAGCACTACCCTGATATTGAGGAGGAGAAAACTAAGCCATAGAGGTTGAGTCCCTTGACCGATATTACATAGTGGCAGAGCCAGACTTGGTTTTCCCCCCAGCCCAGTCTCTTGCCCAGATGCTGTCTCATCTGTAAAGTGTTACAGGTGAATCTGGATCAGAGGTTCTTTGCTTTCATGGGGTTATGGAACATTCTGAGAATCTCATGAATGTTTAGATACTTTGTTCAGAAAAAAACGAGCATACCCACACATACACACATCTCTATATACAAGTTCATGCAGCACATGGCCTCCTGAAACCTCGGCCGTGGTCCATATAATGTTCTTTTGGTCTCTTGTTTAGGGACTTATGTCAATGACTCTCACACCTGGCTGTACATAAAATTACCTGGGGAAGCTTAAAAAAAATAACCATCAATCCTCACCAGGACCCAGACTCCAACTCCAAACCAACTAAATCTGATTCTCTGGGGGCTGGGTAGTTTTTAAAGCTCCCCAGGTGGTTCTAATCTATAACCATGGTTGAGAACCATTAAGCTAGATGATACCAATTTTTAAATTCTATGGTGGAGGAGTTTAGAGCTTCCAGTGGAAAACCAAACAACCAACAAAACAATTTCTAGATCAGGGGAAGTATGAGAAATGCTCTTTTGGCCATGTGGATTGGAGATGATGAAGGCAGTAGCTTTATTAATGGAAAAGAGGACACTGAGTTGACAGTGTTATTTTGAGACAGAATCAATAGGACTTTGAGCCTAAATGGATGCACAAGGTAAGAGAGAAAGGTATGGAAGGGACAGCCAAAATTTCTAGCTGGAGCGATTTGTAAGAGTGGCGCCTCTAACCGTTATAGGTACAGACAAGGAGAAGCAGTGCTCTGGGCAGGGAGGTTGCTATGAGGAGAAAGGTGGGGCGCTCAGCTCAGGAGATAGGTTTGAGGTGCTTGCAGGTCATGTGTGTAGAGAGACCCAGCAGGCAACTGGAAGGCAGCGCCCCTGTTCGGGTAATAAAGAAGGCGGGGGGAGGAGCAAAACAGCATCTCAGAGCAACAGTCCATGAGTATCTGTATTCAGGTTTGTATTCTAGATTTGCAGAAATGCAGACCCCTGCTGCGATGGATCCCTCCACCCACCCCCAAAACGTCCTGTTGAGATAGCTTGACTTTATCTGTATTTTCACTCTGTATTTATCTACCTACTATCTGTGGAAAATCCTGTTGTCAAACTTTTGTTAGCATCTATTATGAGATTAGAAACGTGAGAAGTACATCTAAAAAGAGAACTCTTTCCTCAGAACGGCAGGGAGAACTTAGTTTTTGGCCGGCAGAACAGGGAGGGAAGAAAGAATTAATCAAATAGTGTTCTGATCTGACCCTAGCTCTTTGTGGGTGCTTGAATGCCATCTCCAGTGAGTGCTTATCCCTTTGTTGGGGACACTTATCTGCCACTTGAGGCTAATTCACTACATGAGAAGAAGTGCATCAGGGTCAGAAAATTAAGGTTTCCAAATGCTACGGAGGCTTACCTTCCCCGACATACCACTTTGGGTAGGAGTGAGGATGCAGGAGGGTGAAGAGAGGGACAAAGGATGGGATAAGGGGTCTTAGTCGGTCCTCAGGCTCCTCTGCAGTTTGCCAGCTCTTGGTACTGAGGAGTCTTATCTCAACAGGGCAGGACACTGCTTCTTTCCTGTCATTGTGGTTATTAATACTACGGAGAAATTTGGTACGACTATATTTTTCCTGAAGAATGAATTTTTCAGGACAAACTCATATCTGACCTTAAAGAGCTTACATTGTAGTTTCAAAGGGTGTTTTAAATAGATACAATCTTTTGTTAGAGAAATCACGGATAATTGTTACTCAGAGGCCAAAGGAACGAAGTTTGCGTTCCTTTACAGTATGTAGAAATGGACTCAGAGTCAGTTTAATACTGAGAACTTGATTAAGCTCCTCTTTTCCCAAGTTTGGGATGTGGGGTGCCACATGGTCAGGCCTGTCCCATGGGTCTAGGACTGCCTGACCCCCTGAAGGAGTGGCTGTCAGAGGCAGGGTGATAGCTGTCAAATGTGCTGTTCCTGTGCACAGCCATTCAGGGGAGTCACATGGATTTGGGCTGGGGTGGGGGTGGGGGTAATTACTATCCAGAGAAAGTATTTAAAGATAATTATACACCTCCCACTCTTCAAAATATAGCTTTGCTTGACAACTGGTTTCCTGGCAACGCTTCCTACGGTATAATAAATGTAATGATTTATTAGAATGTGTAAATTTATTTGTGTGTTTACATATGCATGGAGGATATAGAAATTAAATGATAAAATAGGGAGGAGAAATTTGCCTGCTATTCATGTTCCCTTCATACTAACTAGAAAAGTCATTTATTCTAGAAATAGAAGTTCCCATATGTAGACATAGGACAGAAGGGCGGATATGAATGTGCCTAATCTACTTCTTCAAAATTCTATATCGTTGCAGTCCCATGGGAAATTTCTGCTCAACTCATCCTGGGATCCACCTTACCTCTTCCTAAGTCTGGGCTTTGCTCTTGCCTTTCCACCTACGTGGACTGTCCCCAAACTGTCAGGACCTCCCCTTTCTATGTCCTACCCACTCTTTTTTTTTTTTAAGATTTTATTTATTAAAAAAAAAAAGATTTTATTTATTTATTTGACAGAGAGAGACACAGTGAGAGAGGGAACACAAGCAGGGGGAGTGGAAGAGGGAGAAGCAGGCTCCCCGCTGAGCAGGGAGCCCGATGTGGGGCTCGATCCCAGGACCCTGGGATCATGACCTGAGCAAAAGCCAGACGCTTAATGACTGAGCCACCTAGGTGGCTCATCTCAAGTCCCAGCTTCTCCATGGTGAACTTTTCTAGTCTGGCCAGGCTCAGAATTCCTGTCACACTTACATCTGCATTACTCATTTTAGGTATACATTAAAGAAATATTTATTAAATACCTATCCTGGGATAGGTACTAGATATTCATCAGTTAACGTGATAGTCTTTTTCTGCATAAAACTCATGTGGGCAATAAAGACACTTAAGCAAGCAATCAAAGAGTGTGCTTAGCACTATGGCAGGCTTTGCAGAAGTGCTGCAGGAGTGCACCAAAGGGCCTCCGAGCCAGTGGTGGAGGAGCCAGCAAAGGTTACTCAGAGGAAATGGGAAGAGAGGAAATGGCTTCCCATTTCCCCATATTGTTGGTCATCTTTTACTGTATGGTTCTTGCCTCTCCAGTGAGATCAAAAGACCCTCAAGGGAGAGGGACTGTGTCTTGTACTTTGCTATAGATCCACAGTACTTAGTGCAGTCCATCTTACATGGTAGGGACACTTGACTGACAGATTGGTAGAACAGCAGAGAGAACTCTGCAGATTTACTAACTTCTTGCTGAAGACAAGGCTTGAGAGCCCTGGAGCTCTTGTGACCCAGGGATGACAATGAGGGTGAGGGAGGGGCAGTGCTACTGAAAAAGTTTGCTTGGCACATAATTTTGGATAGGCATCTAGAAGAGTAGACAACATCAAAATGGTGGACACTTTAGGCTCTTTCTAGTGGCCAGAATAAGTTCCTGTCTTTTCTTTGAAAACGAGCAACACAGGAAATGATTAAATTTAATTCTTTTATACTATACCTAAGTAACTTAGAATGGACTATCAGAGAGTAGACAAATTTGGATATTTGCCTTGTCCCAGCTGCTCATTTCACTGAAGATGGGGCGAGATAGTCCTCCCAAATTTTAGAACCCCATGGGATTCACTTCAGAACTCCATAAAGTTAAGATCTGGAAACTCGACAGATGATCTGATTAATCCCTACAAGTTGCACAAAACTTTCTACATCATTTGTTCCTTAACTATTTAAATCCTATTCTGAACAGTTAGCCCCAAATGTTGCAAAATTCCTTATTGTGACTAATTCCTCCAAGTGGAGACTTGGCTTACCAAAGGAATACCCTAATATTGCCCTAATATTATAAGTCAGTTAATTTGCTGAATTTCCCCTAAAGTCTCTCTTCTAGTATTTCTTTTAAGTAAACTGTGATTTTGCATCATTGAGTATTGCAAATGTAATAGGCTGGTTGGAAACTCAAATTGTCTTATTTGTCATTGTTAAACTGAGAAAATGATCAGGATACTTTATTTCTTTTTAATTCAAATTTTAGAATCGTTTTTAGAGTACAGCAGTCTCTTCTCTGCTTACAAGGTTATTTCTGAGTTGCAAAAATTCTCTCTCCATTTTCCCTCTATACTACGCTTTTCAGTCATGGCTGCCACAACCCAAAAAGGCAGGAAGTATGAGGAGACATTCTTCTCACATCTGTAGTGGAAACCTTTGCAGCAGACAGAAATGGCTCTGGGTCTACTTTGATAATTTTTTTAAAGATTTTATTTATTTATTTGACAGAGAGAGATACAGCGAGAGAGGGAACATAAGCAGGGGGAGTGGGAGAGGGAGAAGCAGACCTTCCACTGAGCAGGGAGCCTGATGTGGGGCTCAATCCCAGGACCCTGGGATCATGACCTGAGCCGAAGGCAGACACTTAACCACTGAGCCACCCAGGCGCCCCTACTTTTTTTTTTTATGGCATTTTCAATCCATTGCCAGCTTTTGATATTCCTTAAATATACACCATCTGTGGGCTGTAGCATCTAGACTAGAGGGCCCCCATTTGCTATCTGCTCAGACCTTTTAGGGCCACATGGTCTGGTGTAGTAACTACTAGCCACATGTGGCTCTTGAGCACTTGAAATTGGCCAGTCCAAACTGAGACACATAGTAAGGGTAAAATACACTGGATTTCAAAGACTTAGAACAAAAAAAAAATGAATGTAAAATGTCTCATTAGTAATTCTTATATTAATTACATGTTGCAATGATAATGTTTTAGATATACTGGGTTAAATGAATTATATTAAGATTAATTTCACCTATTTCTCTTTACATTTTAATGTGGCTACTAGAAAAATTTAAAAAGTCTTAATGTGGCTCATATTATATTTCTATTCCAAAGCACTGCTGTAGAGCTATGGGCCCATGCCTAAGATATAACAGTTGAGCAGAAACAGGGTTTAGTTAGTACTCCTGGACAGAACCTTTCACTAGGCTAGCATGGTGGTTAGTAATACGGGTATGGGTTCTGACTTGGCCAGATGTGAATATGTGACCCTTGGCCTCTCTCAGCCTCAGTATCTTCATCTGAAAATGGGTTGAATGATAGTGCCAAACTACTGGTAGTACACATTTTGGGAATACGGTTTTCTCTCTGTATTTCTGTTGTATCTTGAATAGTAGCAGCAGAGGGAGAGATCCTTCTCAGAGATCCTATGGCTGGAATACAGGAGGTTAGGTAGACAGCAGGTTGAGCTGAGTCTCAAAGCTTAGCAAAGGATCCCCAGGTTTGGGGGGGGGCACTGTTCCTCTCCTTTGTCAAAAGTATGGGTTGTACCATAGGTCACTGGATAGAAAAATGTTCCCAGAATCTCCTGGGCAATCTCTTACGAGACAGAGTGCATACAAAGATGTCATTTCTCTTCCAATCCTTCAGATTATGTTCATTCATTTGTTCACTCACTCATTTGTTCATTTATAATTCATTCATTTGCAGGCAATGAGAATGATATTTTGGAAATATTTTCAAATGGATTTTTATATCCCTTACTCTTACTGTGTGGGGGATTTAAAACTGCTAGGAACACAAAGGGCTTTCTCAGCTTTGGCTGTCAAATCAGACATTTTGTTTGAGTCTGCGTAAGCCTATTGTCTTACTGAGGCAAGACCACGCATTCATTCATTCATTCAGCAAGTATTAATTCAGTCCCCATTATGTATTAGCCACTTCCCCAGACACCGGAGATAAAGCAGTAAAATCCAAACACTATCAAGAGAGAAAGGATTTTTTATATTTCTATAACTCTCTTTCATGTAATAAGGGCTAGGCCTGGTAGACTTGACCCTAGATTTTTTAATGTAAAGGAGGTCTTGGCTTGAGAGAAAAAGGAATGGGAGAAAGGTCTACATTTTCCAATTCCAGTGAATTATGGGAGAAAGAAGGTATCAGAAATAGAGGTGAAAATCAGATACCAGAGTCCTCACTTAATTCTCAGCCCTGGGTGCCAAGTCTCAAGAGATTGCAGAGGGTTGCTTTAGAAACACCCAGATAGTCATTGGGAGGCTCAGGTATGCTGAAGCTAGTGGATAGCCTCCACTGGGTGTAGTATGGGGGGGTGTCTGCAGGCCCCTGGGAGAATGTCAGCTTTTGGCTCAGAGCTCTATTCAGGCTGGTGCAGACAGCAGCAGGTGGCAGAGAGGTAGGTGAGCCTGCTATAGTGCTCTGGGGTCCCCAGAGCTTGTTCATGAAGTGTGAAGGACCTGGAAGTGTCCATGCACTCAAATGAGGTATGGAGGCGCTGAAGTCAGTGACTGACAGAGCTTGGGGGTCAGACAGCAGAGATGGAGATTTCAAGATCAAATGTAAATATGGGGGTCGTGGACCCCAGTGAGTGGATGTCCAAACCAGATGGGCTGCTGCACCCCAGTAAGGACCTGAAAGTTCAGAGAGAAGTCCAGACTAGCAATCAAACAGTGGAGATAGGCAGAGGACTCAGAGGGATTCCAGGAGCAGCCTTCACCAAGCCCTGTTTACTTCCCAGGATCTTGAAGTTCCCTGCCCCCATGCATCCAGACTCCATCCTGGAGAAAAGCTGGGGAAGTGGAAATATGAGAGACTGAACATTTTACCTTCGGGGACTATTTAAAGCATAGCATTGGGTTCCATTTACCCAGCTGGACTAAAATTTAGTGTTATTTATGCTCTTGCTACACAGTGTGTGAGGCTAGGGAAGCAAGATTAGATCAATTACAAAACATAAACAACCAATATTTTTGGCATGTACAAGCTTTGTGGGGGAAAATTCACATCTCCACTCCACAAATCCATTCATTCATCCATTCAACATATATGTATGGACAGCCTACCCCTGGGCAGGCACTTAGCTAGGTTCTCTAGAAAGAATACTTCTGAGGCATGCAGAGCCTTACTGAAGGAGACAGGCCTGTGAGCCAATAATTGCAATGTAGTATGCTAGGTGCTGTGACAGAGGTATGAGCACAGCACTATGGGAGTGGAGGGAGGTGAGTAACTTCCCTGGAAGAGTTTGCAGAAGATGTAGATGCAGTAACCTTTGAGGTTCTTAACAAAAACCTGAATTCTCCAGATGAAGACTTGTGGACACAGTGATTCAGGGAGAAGAAAGGCTGTATGGAAAGGCCTTGATGTCTGAGAGGACAGGGAACATTCTGGTGACTGCAAGAAGTTCCATGTGGTTGAAACAAAGAGTGTGTGCAGGGGAGTGCAGGAGGTGAGGCTGGAAAGGTAGACGCAGGGCTGAAGACCAGGGGTCCTGTGTAAGGTTCTGAAGCAGAGCAGTGTCGTGATCCTATGTGTTTTCCATAATCCTTAAAGTTCATTTCTTACTGTGTTCCATAAACATGAAGTAGGCAAGAATAGTAGCAAGTGTCCACATTATATTTATTTTAACTGAACTTCATCTTATAAAGAAGGGAGACACATTAGGTCTCCCAACCTCCTAGGGATGGTACTTGCCAAAAAAGCCTGGCAAAGAAAATTCAACAAATATCGACCCCTGAATTATATGTGGGATCTGATCTAAAAGTCTTTCCTTGGTAGCCATACAAAAGAGAGGCATTTACCCCTTAGAAAAACACCCTCACTGTACCCACCCCCCCCACCTGGTAGGTATTACCTTGGGCTACCCAAAAGTGTAGCTGGGGACAGAGCTGGTGTGCGGTAGGAAAGAAGAGCATGCATTTCACTCACCTGAACTTTGATTTGGAAATCCGGTGGCTGAAAGAGAAAAAGCAGATGTTACCAAGGGACACATACGCATATTCTTCCATTTAAAAGATGTTCAGCAGTCCCAGAGAAGTTTGATGGCTCTGGGTGACTAGAAATGGGTGCTGGATGGATGTGAGGAGTGAAATAGAATGACTCCGGAGAGAGAGAAAGAACCCTACTTGTCAGCATCTCTTGGTGTGTTTAAGTGTATGAACGTGGAAACTGAGGGCTGGCCCAGCTGACATATCTACAAATCTAGTCTTTTCTAAGTGGAACCAATAGTCCCTGGAGAGGACAGGTGCTATGTGGCACACAGCATCCGCCCAGCAGGTCCAGCCAAGTCAGGTTAGGCCATGTGTTGGGAATGCGGCACCTTGACGAGAGCCATGCAGGGGAGGAAGGCCTCTCTGCAGATGTGAAAGTCTCACCAGCTGGAAACCACAAGCAGGAAGGAACATGTCATTGCAGACCCCACTGCTGTCCCAACAGGAGCTTGGCCAGTGCTGGGGTATGAAGTGAAGATAAGCAAAACAAGCCAGCTGGGAACTGAGAAGCCACTACAGTCCTGGCCTGAGGGCTGCAACTGGGCCTAAAGGAACAGCCATGGGTCCTGACAGAAACCTAGGATGCTGACAGTCCCATGAAGCCTTGAAGACGTGGGGGACTTCTGGGCAAAACACAGGGCAGGTGTGACTCGAAGGGTTGTGGTATGGGGAAGGAAGCCCACGGAGAGGTGGACCCTTCAGGGAGGCCCTGAGGCTACTGAGTTCATGTTGGAGTGTCCAGGGAAAACTAGGAGGAGAAAGGCTGGGAGCCAGAAGGGAGGAGAGAGAGAGAGAGGAGGGGGAGGGAAGAGGGAGCGAGAGAAAGGGAGAGAGAGAGGGAGGGAGGAAGGGAGGACAGGAGGAATGTAAGCCCTTGAGACAAAACGGTTGAAGGCAATGTGTCAGAAAAGGCCTGGGTGTTCAGAAAGTAAGCCAGAGGATTGCAGGTGGAGCAACCATGCTCAGATAGACACGTAGATGGATGGATGCAGAACGCAGGTTAGAGACGAAGAAAGTGATGGAACACTGGTAGGGAGACGAAGACAGATGCAGACAGAAAACAGGAGCAAGGAGTTCAGGAGGCGACTGCTGCAAGCCTGTGTTGTCCCAGCTCAGCACAAAGTGAGCTCTGTCACATAGCAAGAAAACAACCTCTCTCATTATTTTTTATTAAAAAAAAATTAAACCAGAAGATGTGACAGGTGGCAAAGCCATCGTGCATGAGATAATTATATCTCTGGGGCACTGAGAATCCTAGCCAAGTGCCTTTACTGCTCTGAACCGTTAGCTAATAACCTTTTCCCACCCCCAAGGCTGCTTGCTAGGGCTGGAGTGTTTAATCACATGTTAACAAAGTGTGTGGGAGGGGGACCAGGAGCCAAGGGCAGCATTTTTATTTAGAACCACAGTTTAATGGGGGAAACAAATGTTTTCCAGCTGCTAATTGGGTGATGGAGAATCGAGGTCTTCTCTTCCCCAGCAGGGCCATGCTGAGCTTGGGGACCTTCAGGGTCTTAACTAGGCTTACTTTCGGACAGTTGCCTCTCTTTGCTGTTAGGCATAAGCCAAAGTGGATGACTGTGGCCTTTAGTCTCATGACTCTGTCTACAGAGCCTGACCCGGCCCCAGGCCTTCTCTTAGAAATGTCTCAGTGATCCTCTCAGGGGTGTCCTTCAATGCAGACCGTGTGCTCTTTCCTTTAAGGCTCTCTCAGTCCATAAGCAAAAGTGGGTTCTTAAAGCCCAAAATCATATCTCCCAGGGAAATGACTCTGGGATGTGGGCACAGAGGGGGATCAGAGCTGAGGTGACTTTTTGAAATGACATCCTCGTCCCAGTTCCAGCGTGGTCATGAGCTATGGGCCCCTCCTTGGCATTCTGGCACATTCAGAAGAGCAGGAATGGAGCAGAACTTTCTTTTCCACTTAGTTACAAGTCCTGATGTATAACCCTTGACACCACACTTGAAGACTTATTTTTCGTTGTTGTTGCTAATCTCAGGGGATTGTGAGCATCATTTTAGGCTCACTGGGTCAGTTCATCCCCTTTTAAGTACCACATTACTTAAGCGCCCCTACTTAAGAGAGGGGAGGGTATCGCTCAAGTGGCAAGTGTCTAGAGACAAAGGAAAACCCTAACTCTTAGAGAACTGCGGCTAGAACTCTGTAAAGCCCAAGGGTTTTGATTCCTCCGTACTGCCTTGAAGAGCAGGGATCCCATTTCATGAAAACAAGAGGACCCAGTTGCTCAGCAGCCTCACCTCTTAGGAAGTAACTATTAGCTCAAGGATTGGAAAGCTGGTCCGTCTCACTGTGTGAGTAAGCAAACTGGGGAGTCTATGGCAGCCTGGTGTCATGGCCCCCACTCCACACCCTGAGTTGGCTGATGTGTGGCAAGTGCTTCCTCCTACTGGTTTTTAAACCACTTCAGATTCCTCAGCACAGTAGAGGCTCTAGCTTCTCCAAATCCCAGTGGGGGACACACAACTTGCTCAGAAGTCTTCTTGGCTTTTATCATTATTGTCCTAGTAAGGTACAATTCCCACCTCACGTTTTAAATGGTTTCCTGAAGAAGAGCTAGGAGGTGGACAAAGTAACTGACACTCAAGACCATCAGAGCAATTCTACTGGGTTGGACCTGAAGTAGCTTCAACCCAAGATACTTTCACTGCCCAGGCCTCCAAGACAAACCTTCTAGGGAACCATGATTTTCTTTGTTGATATTAAGGTTCAAAATTAGAGATGAGCCCCAAACTCCTTTCCTTTTGCTTAACTATTTACTTCTTGGGGGCCTATTTATATTTCAGCCTTTCTCCCCTTCTTAGAGTAATGAGCACAATATGTTTACTACCTGCGGTATGAAATAGTATCTCCCCGAATTGTCCCAATTTGCCTTTAACGTAAGTCAGATGGCACTGCAGTCACCATCCAGGCTGACACACATCTGACTCAGCTTCCTTGATGCCACAACTTCAACACTGTCCACAGCTGTTATTCCTAGAAGGGTAATGGACCTTGTCATCACAGAGGACTGCTTCAACAACTGGGTGCTGAACTCAGTAGCTCCACATTCTGGCCAGATTCTCCTTCTCTATTCATCCTTCTGCTCTTGCTCCGAACCCAATCTTTGCCCTCACTGGGTCTTCCCCATCATTCACCCCCTTCCAGGGCTCCCAGGCTAATGCCAGGCTTAACTTCCAGTTCCCAGCTTGGCACTAGTGTCACATCAATGTTGCCCTCAACACACGGCCTGGGACTTGTACTTTGCCTGCCTTGCTACACTGCCACCCTGGTTCACACGGCTGTCTGTTTTTAGTGCTTCTGGGCCTTGCAGGCTGCCAAAAAAAAATCTGTCGAATCATTTCGCAAGGCTGCCTTCACATTTACAATGTCAGGCTCCACTGTGTCTTCAGCACTGCTCGGTGATCGTTTAGTGACCTCTTGGTGACTCACTAGCTTGAATCTTCTGTACTATTCTTCAGGTTCCTAGGACACCTAACCCCCACTTTCTGTAACGAGATGACAGATAATTTGGTTTGACTCCTATCATTGACTCTCTGTATCAGAGCCTATTTCTGATTCTATATTCTTCATAGACTACAGAGTTTGAGAGCTTGGAAGGGATCCTTAGATGTCACCTGGAACTATGGTTTGCAATTTATCGGGTTGTAGAATGTTTTATTCATATGAAATCTGACATGGAAGCCCAAATGAACAAGAGTTGAAAGTGGCTCCCAGGAGTTCTGGGCCTTTGCTAGGAGTCCCTGAGCCAACAATCAAGATAACTCCTTCGTGTCCCAGAGGGCAAGACCAAGACTCAGAGGGGAAGTGCTTTAGTTGAGGTCACATGGCTTGTTGGCGGCTGACTGGGACTTGATCCAGGACTCCTGATGCCAGGTCTGTTTTTCTATCTTCCAATTAGTCCCAGAGGTAAGGAACTTCTTCTTGCTGTGTAAATCTAGCATCTCCAACTGTGCCTCTGAAGTCAACCTTCTCCTCTTTTTAGGCAATGTCTTGCTATAATCACTCATTTCCATCCCAGCATCTGTAGACCCTCCATTTTCATTGGTCACTTCTTTGCCCCAAAGACTGCCCCAGTGTTTTACTATGATGAAAAACAAGTTCTCACTTGGCCATTGCTGCCTCCTTTTTACCATCTTATTTTCTCCTCTCTCTTCCATGGCCTCACTTCTGGAGCGAGTGCCCTAAGCTGGCTCCTTCCCACCCTTCTCCTTCACTAAGACTCCAGCTCCCGCAAACAAGTCCTGTAGAGTGTGGCTCCAGAACCCATGACCACTTTCTTCATCTCCATGTGTGACTCTAGCCTGAGCCAGCATCATCTCACACCTCACTAACTGCTATCAAGGGTGCTGCCCTGTGTTTCACTGTGTTCCCTAGTGGCCTCACTTCTACCCATTCTTCCCCTGACATCCAAGTGATCCTTCGAGAATGCAAAACTAACCCAATCGACCTCCCTTGCCAGTTCCATGTTCTTGTGACTTCTCACAGTCTTGTGATAAAGACAAAGATCATTAGGGGCCTACCAGGCCATGTCCTTCCTCCAGCCTCCCCTTCCCCCCTCCCCCACCAATACACCCTGGCCTCCCAGTTCTTCCACCCAAGGGCCTTGAAACACACTGTTGCCTTTGACTGGAACATTCTTCCTTACTCTTCCTCAATAATGTACGTTCACTCTTCAGTTCTCAGCTTAAATTTAATTCTTCAAAAAAGTGTTTCCTAACTTGCCAGTCTAACCTGTTATTAACCCTACTACTTGGCTACTTTTCCTTCTTAACACTTATCCCTATTTCTATGACTTATTTACTTGTTTAATGTCACTTCCACACCAGATTATAAACTCCAGTGAAATCGTATCAATTTTTTTCTCCTGCTATGCATCACCATCACTGTGTACCAAGCTGGGCACACTGCTGAATGAATGTACAAATAAACAGTTCTCTCTTGAAACTCTTTCTCCCGTGGCCTTCCTGCAAGTGCTGCTGTCTGGTCTCAACACTTCTTCATCTGTTTCACTTACTTGTTCTTATTCTTCTGTCTGTCAGTTTCCCAAGATTCAGCCCTTGGCCAACCCTCATCCTATAGCTTCATTAATAGTTTTTACACTGATAACCTCAAGTGTGTGGCTCCATTCTTGTTCAGAGCCGCGCCTTGGACCTCCATATACTGTTGCCTGCATGGTACCTACAGGTCCCTCGGTTGGAGCCTTGTTTCTGGACCGGGGACTGCAGGGACGGATGGGAAAAAATTTTACTTCAACATCCTTACTGTTTTCTGTCTTCAAACTTTGATGGTTCCTTCTTCTTCATCACCTCCCTCTCCCCAACAAAATATCAGATTGCAGTTCCTTTTTCTCTCTGCTCCCACCCCCTCAGGGACCATCTTCATCCGCCCTTCTCACTACATATAAATTTTCATCCTGATCTCATCTGACTACACAAGCCTTTTAACTCTTAGCTCTAAAGATGCCAGTCCCTCACTGTCTCCTCCCCATCACACTCGGTTTTAGCCCCCAGCCTGTTCTCACACTGTTTCTCCCACCAGGAATGTTGGCAGTCTTATCCCATGGTTGTCTGAGTGGGGTGGGGCTGAGTAGAGAGATGGGGAAAGACCATAATTTATTAAGCATATATTATAATCCTGGCACTCTGTCCAGGTATTTTATATGCACAGAGTAGAAGCATAAATGTGGATATTCATAAGGATAACAGGGACCATTTCTACAGAGCTCCTCCAGCCTGCAGAATGTGTCCTCAAGGAAATGACAGATATACTAGAGGTGCCAGCTTCCCTCTCTGGAGGATAATCATGTTCTCCTTCCAACAGATCTCCATGCTCTCCTGGAATGTACTTGCAAGTGACTTCCTAGGGCTAGGAAGTTCTCTGGTCTCCCCTGGTTTGCAACTTGGGCTATGCCCCAAAGCCTGAGTTGCAGGGTCCTCCACCATCTTCTCTACAACCCTTCTTGGTGTCAAGACCACAGAAAGGCCTGACAGACTTAGAAGGTTCGCTGGGGCCCATTTGCAAAAACTTGAGTGCTTGCTTTGTATGGCAGGAGAAGAGGGAAAGGCTTGGACTGCTGCTTAAAAATGTAATTAGTCCCGTATTTTAACAACATTTTGACAATAATTGCTTCCCAATGATGCCAAGAAATCTGCAGTGCAGACTCCCTGGTGCCACTGTCAGAGTGAGTGATGCTGAAAGCCCTGTGTAGCCTGGAAATAGAAGTTGCAAGAGCCAGTCTGTTCCTAAGCCTTGTTTTCCCTTCTCCTTTCTCGGAGACCATTCTCAAGGTTGGCATGGCTTGTGTTCAGACTCACCTGTGGAGAATCTTTTTAAAGAGGTTGGGGTTTGCTCAGCTTATTGAGTCATTTCAGGGATGAAAGGTGAAATAAGATGCTGTTCCACTGATGGAGCAATTTAGAAACTCATTTCATTTGGGACTGGTCCTACTCAGAGCCTTCTGTATGCGGTGCTTTTTAGTGACTGGGGTGAGCTTACAATTCTTACACCACCAAGCCAAAAGGAAAAGCAGGCTCCACTTCCAAGAGCAGACCCTAAATGCTCCAGGAGGCCTCATGCCCAAGGTCAGTGTGAATCCCTGACAGAATAGGACTTTAATCTTTGGACTCTGCTGAGATGCTGGTAATAGAATCAGCAGTTTGCTTATTTTTAGCAGTTAAACTATTTTTTCCCTTCATTTTTTTTTCTTTTTTTTTTTTTGTGGGGGAACATTTCCCAGGGACTACTGGTTTCCATTTTTAAGATCAAAGATGGGTGATTGTGATAGTTCATGAGTGAATTGTTCTTCTGTGTACCCTGCCCAATCTTGGGCCAGTCGGCTCCCCGAAGCCTGGAGCCTGGGGCCTGCCCCAGGGGAAGGGAAGCTGTGGGCATCTAGGCTGGAGCTACTTTTGGACGAGGTGTCTGGCCACATTACAAGCTAAGCGCAGGTGAATTTTGTATTAACTCCAGTTTGCACTTTGGGCATCTCCGTTTCCCTTCACTAGGTAGGTAACTAGAGTTGCAGAGAAGGACCAACATGTTGATTATCTCCCAGGGTATTTTCTTACCTGTTTGCTCTTCTTCCAGGTCACATTTACCAAAATGGAAAGGGTGGTTAGCAGGACCCAGGGACCCTCACATAGGTGCCTCACGTGACAGGGGGCGAGGGGGCTGGGAAGAAACAGACTTCGGAGCCACCGCCAAGCTCCCCTCACTGCCCCCCTAGCCCTATCCTGTATTTCTCTGATGTAATGGACAGGGGCTCCAAATCCTGAGTCAGACTGTCACAGGAGTGCAGAATCAGAGACTGGCCTTAATATTAAGACTCCTCCCCCTGTCATGGAGCCATACTCAACACAGGGCCCTCTTTCCCCACACAAGTCACTGCCTGAGTTTTCTGTTCCTCTGACCTCTGCCTCACCCACGATGGGCCAGCCCATTGTGACTTCGGGACACAGCATCCCTCCCCGCATCCCTGGAAAAGCCCGAGTCCCTGGGCTCGCCGTGCCTACTCACGCCAGCCTGGCCCCGCAGTTCTCTCCCTCGATGTCACCTCCAGCCACATTTTCGGTGTTGACAGACTCGGTCTCGCTTGTGGGCATGCTCACTACAAGAGTCAAAGGGATGCAGAACAAGGCATTGAGGGTGGGGAGGAAAAGGGGAGAGAAGTGCATTAGTTTGCAAAACACCCAGTCCCAAGACTGTGGGCTACTTGGGAGGAAGAGAACCTGAGCAGCATCTGTTAGTTAGGGGAGCAGCGGTGCTGCTGTGAGCAGGTTGGGCCTGCCATGGCCAAGTTTGGGGGTTTCCTTGACTGTCACGCCTGCTACTTGTCTAGGGTGAGTTTAACTAGTGGGACTTACTTCCTGAAAACACTGACCATTGAATCCTTTCCTACCCTCAACTCTGTGCCCTCAGAAAAGCTGTGCAAGCTTTTCCATTTGTATCCACTATGAGCCATAAAAAGAGGAGCTTTCATGAAAATATTTTATTTTGCTTTTTTCCCCACCCACCAATTCTAAGGGATTTCATCCCCAAACTTAGGGTCCAACTTGTTTGTAGGAAGGATGTTTTTGCTGCCTCATGAAGTACTAGATGGATGTGGAAGACTGCCCCCCTACTTGTAGTGGACACTGGATCCTGAGTCAGTTCCATATAGGACCGTACCTGAAATAGGTAGTTTGAAATAAATGACTATTACCAGAATCGGGTACTAAGATTCAAACTTGCACTACAGACACCAGGAATGGGGAAAATAATTGTGGAATCCACCAATTAAGTTTAAATGTGACTGGAAGATAGACTGCAGGTAGACTGGGATGTCATTTCCCCTTCCAGCAATCCTGACATTCCGACCCCAGCAGGCTGACTTGGGATATAAACCATCTAATTCCACTGGTGCCAATCTGTCTGGTCAATCTCCACTCCCTTCCCAAGGCAGCAGTGAGCTGCATTTCCAGAGTGGCAGGAATTTTCTAGCTTGGAACCCAGTGTAGGGGCTTAGAGAAGCCATTATTTTATCATTATTTTTTATTTCAAATAGAAGTTTCACTCAAGAGAATTCTTCCTCCTTACCTTCTCTTACCCTATTAATATGATGCAAAAATGAGTTTTATTTTTGGCAACCCCTGTTCTTCAGAATGGCCATTACGGCATTGGTCCTGGTCCGTTCTCCTTGCAGAACAGAACTCCTCATGTGGTGAGAAAATCACTAACTCTCAGGAGCCACACAATCTGCAGTTAGTGAGGGTGTGGCATCAGGTGATGTGACACCTTGTACAAGTCCCCATGGGGCCGCCACAGCCCAGGAAAAGCTTCTACTGGTTATATGGATAATATCTTTGGATGGAGATTTTCCAAGGTTCATTTCTTTTGGATAAGACAAGATGGGTAGGTGAGAAGAGACTCATTTCAGGAACATGCAAGATACAAATAGAAAGCCCATGACTTAACATATGTTTGACTGTCATGTACGAGAGACCTCTCTACCCTAGGACTCATTTTTAATACAGTTGGGTAAAAAGAAATCTAGATGCCATTTCAAAGAAGGTTGGCACTGGATGTGACTTTAGATATTACCCAGCTCTAGCTTACTCCCTTCCCTTTATAGGACAGGAAAGTGAGGTTTAGGGAAGGGAAGATGCCCAAGTTCACACAGTGTATTTGGGGGTAGGACTTGGTCATGAGTACAAGTGTCATAACCCCCTGCACCATGCTTATCTTGATTGCCCCTCTGTTGACCAGCTCCCTACTCTATACTTTAAGACAAGATGAGGTTCTTATAGCCAGATCAGGCTCTGGAAGCATCATAGGAGCATGGTGAATAGCCAAAGAGTGGCGTTGAATTTTACAGCATTTACACACCCTTTGTAGCCTGAGGTCTGAGGGAGCTGGTGTGTGAGGCCAAGACCTTAGGCATGGTTTTAGCACTGGGAGCTAGGAAGACAGCACCTTCAGAGCTTACCAGTTTCTTTCCTCCATCCACACTAAGGAAGAAGTCATACATTAAAGAGCCTTCAGTCCTTTCAAACCATCTATCTCTGATCATCTCTGACCTAAGGTTCCTTTCACTCTTTAGGCATCATTGTTTAAAGTTAAAGAGCTCTGGGGGTGCCTGGGTGGCTCAGTCAGTTAAGCGTACGACTCTTGGTTTTGGCTCAGGTTGTGATCTCAGGGTTGTGGGATCAAGGCCCACCTTGGGCTCTGTGCTCAGTGCAGAGTCTGCTTGGAATTCTCTCGCTCCCTCTGCTCCCCCCTGCCACTCTCTCTTAAATAAATAAATAAATAAATAAATAAATAAATAAATAAACAAAATCTTAAAAAAATAAAGTTAAAGAGCTCTGACTTTGTGACACTTTGCTCCCAGAGAGCCCCTTATGTGTTAGTGGAGTGGTATGATGGTGGTGCTAGGCTTGGAAATACAACCAAGTTAGGAGTGGATGGGCTTGGCCTTTAGGAGGAACGATATCATCTCCTAAATCAAGGAACTGCCTGTACCAGTACCAAGATGGCATTTATGGTGACCTTAATCTTGGCTGGCACTATCCAAAGGAAGTGTTCCATCAAGGAATAGCAGCTGCTGATTGTCATGTCTGCTGACTTTATACATATGAAGAGATGATAGGGCAGTGGCTTTGAGTGGGACAGATTACCATCCCCTTATAGATACACACACACACACACACACACACACACATACACACACATACAAATACACATTCATGACCACTGCATCACAAGCCATCGAAAAAAACACCAGTTCGGTATGTACCAATGCTCATTTACACACATAGAGTGCAGGGGAACATTACCATGGGTTTCTGTGGAGTGACTAAACCAAGCAAACTTCCCTTTCTTCTGATTAAGCAAGCCTGCTGGTGTGCCTCCTTTCACAGACAAGATGGTCATGTCAAGAACCGGGAAAGCATGCAGTCAGCCATGGGCAAAAGAAAGAAACAAGGAACCCAGCTTTCAGATAGAACATCCATTTTCATCTTTGAACATAAACTAAGAAAACTGTAAAAAGCAATAAACCAAAACACATAAGAAAACATAACAAAGTAGAACCCAAACCCCAAATCACATGAATTAATGACACAAAACAAATGATGGACCCTGAGGAGAAGGAGTTACTCCAGCAGAAGCTTCAGTCTACACTGGTCTATCTAGTTAGTGGCTTTGAGGGAAGAGCTTCCTGGGAGAGGCCACCACTCATCCCTGCTGCCTACAGTCTCCAGTAGGGTAACTGCTAGAATCAAACGATAGCATTGGTGCTCCCCCTTCACTCCTATCCAATGGCCAGGTGACCTGACCTCTTCCCCACCTGTAGTGGATCTACCCCTCCTCCCTCACCACTTATATTCAGATTGTGCCTCTTGCAGATGAAAAACAGCCCACGGATCTACTTGCCCCTTCGTCTAATTCAACTACTTAGTCCCATTCAGTAAAGAACCACCAAGTGTTTCAGGCCTAATAATATCCAAAACCTCTATGTATCTGCTTTTAATCAGTTTAAATAGGCGAAGTAGTTGCTCAGTTGCTTGTCAATGGATAGTCTTTTCAGGAGTTTGGTGTATAAGGGAGAAGAATGTTATAAGCTTCTTTTGGCTCTGGGCTATAGTTGAAGAAGAGGGTGCTAGGGAGATTGTAAAGACACTGATTACCACAAATGGAAGAGGGGGAGCTCTGTATTCTGCAACAGACTTTGAGTTCTGGATGTCAAATGCTTTATCTAATTCCAGAGAAAGAGAATTTCCCCACTCTATTTGACAAAACTCGTATGAACCACACCTCTGCCAGGCCTCTACAGAGGGTGCTTGGCATGAGTGGTGAGTGAGGCTTAGTGACAACTTATTAATGACGTGGGAAATCTGCTACCACTCAGGAAAGGAAGCATGTGCCCTGGTGGGGAATGGGTAGGTGAGCCCATTAGTTCCAGGAAAGGGCATAAGGGGAAGGTCAATCCAAGTTTTTAGGTGCTTCTTTATTTTATCCACTTCCCCTGGAACTTGGATCACCTTCAATGAGCATCCTTGAATGCTGCTTGTTAGTGAGAATTCTGAAGACTTGTTCATGAAAAAAAGGATCAGTCTTATTTTTAACCTAGGTAAAGGGCCATGTCCCAACCACACATCTTTAAAATACAAAGCTTGGAAAAAAGAAAAAAACAACAACAACAAAGCTTGGAATAAGCAGACACTTCTCAAAAATCCCATATGAAAAAAGCCCACTGAGTGTAAGGAGCTGAAATGAGGTTTGGTTCCAATTTGCCTTCTAGCAAAAGATATGTCTCAGCTTAGAATGATAACAGTTACTGAAGTAAGCATCTCATAATGAGTGGTCTTTTGTTCGGAGGTGTAAAGGGGTCAACACGAGGCTGCCAGTCACCAAGTTTCTGTCTGTTCACATGGTTGTCTAGGGGAACAAGAGCCCTGGCCAGTGATGGAAGGCCCAGAACACTGTGACCTGTTCTAGAGAAACATTATTCAGCTTCTGGCCTTGGCATCAGTATTGCCCCATATTTTTTGATTTCAGAAATAACTGCACAATAACTTTAAAAACAATAGAAAGAGCTTGATAAAAACATGGTCATTCAGTGTATGACTGAATTTGACCAGGGCTGGTCTTTCAGCCACAGGTGTGGAACGTGATTTGAAGAGCATGTAAATCATCTCCTTTCAGAGTGTGCTGTAATGTCTGCTAGATCTGCTCTTTTGGGTAAAGTCATATATCTGAAGGTTCCTTGTTGAAATGAAAATCTCTCACCTGGAAGGAGTAGTACATTAACATATTAGTGCCTATTTGTGATAGTTTATCCCAAAAGTCCCTAAGGGAATAAGATGGGTGAAAATGCAGTTTGTGTTCCTATTCCTAAGGGATTAGATGGCAGGATCATAGTTGATTCTTTAAGGGATTTGTTGCCCCAGGGAGATGGACTTGCATTCCATCTTGGAGTCTGAGTGCCCAAACTGTTGAAAGCTGAGAATTATAAATGCTGGATAGTTATTTGGTGGATGAGCTGGAGACTCTGCCTCTTCCTGTGGCCACTCAGATGATGAACTGGCTGGAAATTAAGGCCGAAAGACAGCAAAGAACGCAGGTGCCTCA